GTCTCAGAAGCAGTTCAATTTGATTTCAATTCAGTTTTATTTATACAGCTTTAAATCACAATAACAGCCTCAATGCGCTGTTTATCGTGAGCTAACGATCGGCCAGTAATAGAGAGAAAACTCTAAATCAGACAACAGTGACAACATTTATAAAAGATGGAAAATGCTTGGAATCACTCACTAGTTGCAAGTTTTAATTCAATTAAGTTTTATTTCTGTAGCACCAAATCACAACAGTTGCCTCAAGGTGCTTTGTATCGTAAAGTAAAGATCCTACAACGATGCAGAGAAAACGATGGGGCGGCCATCTGCCACGACTGATTGGGCTGAGAGGAGGACAAAGACGTGCTGTGGAAGCCAGAGATTAATGATAACTAATGATTCAATGCAGAGAGGTGTATAGACACATGATGAGGGGGGAAATGACTGAAGAGAAACACTCAGTGCATCATGGGAATCCCCCGGCAGCCTACGTCTATTGTAGCATTAATAAGGGAGGATTCAGGGTCGCCTGGTCCAGCCCTAACTACATGCAAAACGGACAGTTTGAAGCCTAATCTTGAAAGTAGAGATAGTGTCTGTCTCCTGAATCTAAACTGGGAGCTGTTTTCACAGAAGAAGGGCCTGAAAACTAAAGGCTCTGCCTCCAAGTCTACTTTTAAATCCTCTAGGAACAACAACTAGCTCTTTATTAGGATGATGCGGCACTATGAGGCCTTAAAGAGGAGATGGGTCCTGATTATACAAGGGGCAGGATTTTAACTTTGATTTAGCAGGAAGCAAAGATCTTTACTCTCATCCAGTAAGATGTGGAGGTTATTTGCTTAACTTGTTCTTGGTCATAAGTGACTGTTGTAGCAGTCACATCATCTTCAATTTCCCATGTGCCTCACAGCCTCTAGTTTGTTCTTTGTGTTTATGTTTACTGTGGAAAAACAAAAACCAATAAATAAAATGTTTTTTAAAAACAAGGGCGGGAAAAGAACAAAGGAGGGAAGCAAAATTAAAGAAAGCCACATGAGGAACTAACCTTCAAAATAAAATGGGAAATAAGAGGGATCAAATGAAAAGACACAAACCGATCAATCAGACTCAGATGAAGGTGAACACACAAGAAGTGAGAGAACAAAACATAATCAGTAGGCAAGAAAAACAGAACGATGGATAAAACAAAGCTAACATATCTAACACTTCAACCAACATCCAGCCATTCTTCTAACCGCTCATGGGTGGAGAACGACTTTGTCTTTTCTGCATTTCTTTTATTATGAAAAACAGAAGAAGAAGAGTCAGAATCTGAGGCGTATACAGCTTGTTACCAACACACACCCTAACAGGACATATAAATACTACAGAGCAATATCTGAACTTTTTAAAAAAAGTTTATGTACAGATAAGAAGACATGGCCCAGGACACGCCCCTGAGGTGCCGCCATTTCTGCTGAAATCCAACATCTCAGATGTTACAACAAGCTAACATGTCCTTACTTCCTGTTTAGCTGACCCCCACTGAGCCCTCCTCATAGGAATCATCTGGATATGACAGGAAAATCCTGGGAGACAGAAACAGCATCCCGTCTTCCCTTTATGTCCCCCTCCCTGTAATCCGCCTCCTCCCGCCGTCCCTGCTCCCCGGCTCTATTTCTTCTCACATCAACATTTCGACATATCTCTCTGACACACAGCTTTCTGTTTTCACTGATGCCTCTTTCCTCCCCGCCCTGCGCAGACCAGTTCCCGAGCCTTCAGAGTAAGATGCGCGTGGTGCTGAGGGTGGAGGTGGAGGCTGTGAAGTTCCTGAAAGAGGAGCCTCATCGTCTGGATGCCCTGCTGAAGCGCTGCAACACCATGACGGATGCTCTCAGCACGCTGCGCAGGTACTCGAATTAAACGTGAATGAACCCTCGCTCAGTTATTAAAGCAGGTCAGCTCTGCAAGATTTACATCAAACCACACAGTCAGTCATCATTTTT